GTGATACAGGAGGGCACCCAGTATCTTTCTCTAGTCTCTGCACACATTCATGCACACATGTATACACACAGTATAACCCTAACCCTAACCCTAACCCTGTGGTTATATAAAGGAATTTTACTAATTCCTTTATATATTATTTATTTTATTTTATTTATTTATAATTTTAATTTATTTTATTTTATTTAATTATAAATTATTTAGCCGGGTGTTGGTGGCGCAGGCCTTTAATCCCAGCACTCTGGAGGCAGAGGCAGGCGGATCTCTGTGAGTTTGACACCTACCTGATCTACAAGAGCAAGTTCCTGGACAGGCTCTAAAACTACAGAGAAACCATGTCTCAAAAAATGTGTGTATGTACATAACTGGGTGTCTCCCAGGTGTGTGCTGGTGTCTTCAGAAGAGGTGTAGATGACCTTAGTCTGCATATTTGCCTTTGCTTATAGGCAGGAATATTCCAAACCCTGTTTTAAAACTTCCTAGGAAATATCTAAGAATTATCATCTGTACTTGCCATTTATTTGATGATAAATGTTCTTTCTAGTATACATTCAGATATGTTCATTCAGTATACTGCAGATGAAAGTACAGTATTCTCCATTATCTGTATTATGTCCCAAGGCCCTCAGTTGATTCCTGAAACCATGGATTGTACTGAATTCAAATATATTCTAAATTTTGTTTATATTCAAATGTATGCACTATCTAGTTATCTTTTCCTGGTGTTACCTAGGATAGTCCATTATTTGTGACTAGATAGTGTTTTCCACTGGAAAGAGTAACACCTAGGAATCAGAAAGATGATGTGTTGTTAGGTTCAGCTGGCAAATCAGAAAAGTATTTCTGGGGTACAAGTGGAACTTAAATGTGATTACAGCCTAAAAGCAAAGCAAACAGATATTCAGTAATGTTAAATTCCCTTTTCTCTAGTACAGTTTAAAAGATATTAACATTTAGAACCTTTGTCTCTCTCCTTTTAGATAATAAATTACTTTTGGATGGTTTCATTTTTAATGAACTAGAATCTTGCTGTTTATCCCTGTATTTTAAGATGTAACATAATCATGTTTAGCAATGTAGTAGCTGTATTGGTAAGTTTTTAACATAACCATCTCTTTTTGTAATACATATCTTCTTAGTCTTGTATGCATTCTTATTGGAAAATAATACTGATGCTTTACATTTGTGTTTATTCAGAATTTCAACATAGTTTCATTTATTCTTTACAACTTGTAAGGTTAAGTAACCTTAGGAAGTAACTTAGGAACATTTGATTTTCCTTTCAAGTCTTTAACTCTAGTTTGTTTGTTTTCTCCTCTCAGACAGTTCAGTTTGTTCAGGGAATTTTTGTTGAAAAATATGACCCAACGATAGAAGATTCCTACAGAAAGGTAAAGTATGAAACAGTGTGTGCACTTATGAGTAGTCCTTACAGCTTTCAAACCTGGTCCATGGAATTGCTTTTTACAATAGTTTTGAAAAATGATAGAGATCCGCTGTGCAAGCCACCACACCGTCTAAATAGTTCGTTCTTTTCTGTATGCATTTTCCCAGTAGAAAGTAAGTAGAAAATTGTTAAGCCCACATCCAGGCTTTTGTATGAGTGTTGGGGATTTATACACACTTGTATTTTCCTACTTAATATTTTCAACTGTTAACAAAACTTAAGACCATTTTTATGATTGAAGTTATCCATTAAGTTTTGGTTTTGATTTAAAGTAAATTTAAAGATATCTACCTTTACTATCAAAATTAATCAAAAATGTATTACAGTATGATGGGAATACCTGTCTTGTTTCTCAGATCTGTGGAACATAATTGAAAGTGTAATGCAAACTGTGGACCTTTGCTGATAATGTGTCCTTTGTAGCTATATTGGTTGTAGCAAATTTCCACTCTGCTGCAGGCTATTGATAAAAGAGAGAAGGAAGCTGTACATGGTGTAGGCAGAGATAATGTGGGGTGTCTCTATTTCTCTTAATTTTGTAATGAACCCAAAATTTCTCCTAAAGAAGTGATGTTGGCCAGGGATCGTCATGTACATTTAATCCCAGCACCTAGTAAACAAAGGCTAGGAGATCTCTGCAAGTTCAAGGCCAACCAGTCTACAAAGACCCTATCTTTAAAAAAGAAAAGGAGAGGGTAATCTATTTTTAAAAGAAGCAAAGAAGCAAAATAGTTGGTCTTGACAAAAATATGTTCTATTATAAGACTTGGTAGAACTATGAAAAACTTTCATGATTTTATTTTTCACATATCCAGGTGAGGGGTCATATAACAGAGCCAAGATTATCCCTCCAAAGACTAAACCTACATTTTAACAGAGAGGAAAGCATTGCTCTGTTAGATATCTGTTTTTAGAATCTATCTTTTATAGTACTATAACTTTTGTTGAATTAAGCTTTTTAGGGAATACTGTCCAAATGATTTAATTCTCTTCCAAATTAACACAACAGTGCTCTAGATACTTATGAAACTACAGGCATGGTTCCTTATTTTCTGAAGACTCTGGCACAGATTTTGCCTGTTAACTGTTTGTCCCCTACCCCCCACTGAGTGGGGATTTGAGTTTGTGGCCCCACCGGAGGTACTCCTCATCACTCTGGCAGGGAGGCAAGGGTCAGAAGAGCCTTAGGGTGATGTGTTATTTGTAAGAGACAGTGTTGCTCTTCTGAAATTTCTCCCAAATACATTTAACCATAAAGCAACATCTGAAGGACTAATTTTCTTAGTCCCCTCTACAAGAGTTTTCCACAGAGTTGATAATTGAAACTTTCTTTAGGCTGATCTTTTTGGAAGAATGGGGAAATGGAATTGGTACATTCATATTTCACCTTCTGCAGTCCCCACCCCCCCAAGGAACCCTAAAGTCTTAAGAATTGTATATAAGGAAGGAATAAATAGCTCATTGCTATTTATTTGAACACTTCTGAATGCTTATGTTGCAAATTTTGTGAATATTTTAGCAAAATTTCAACAACTTAGATATAGTAAGTTAGCAAAGTTTCTATTCCTTGAAGTCTTTTTGTATACAGTTTGACACATTTATGTGGTACAGTGAGGCCTGGCATCTTTTGTTGGAGATAGTGTCACCCATAGGGCCTTAAACTCTTCCTGCCTTAGCCTCCCAGAGCTGAGATTATAAGTAAGCACTACCACACTCCAGCTTAGGTTCTTTAATCCTTGACTTTCCATGAAGATCATATATGTATCTCATATATACGTCTGGCACAGCCTTCATTTTTTCCTGTTTTTTTTTTTTGTTGTTGTTGTTGTTTATTAGAATTTTTTCCTGTACCATTTTCCCTAAGTTACAAAAGCTGTTCTTTTGCCTTCCAATAAGGACAAATGAGCATCTTTACAGCTACACTCAACTTTAACCATATTGGCCTTTGGGATGTTGCTGGTGTGCTCAAAGATCCCTGTTCCCTATTGTGGTACTAAGCAGAAAAATACTTGGTAGTTGTTAATAAGTACTTTGAAGAGGTAAAAGGAAAGCATGTTGATGTTGCTTTTTTGTCTTTTCTTCTTTGCCCCCCAACAGCAAGTCGAAGTAGATTGCCAACAGTGTATGCTGGAAATCCTGGATACTGCAGGAACAGTAAGGATTCTTTCCTTTCCATTTAACAAGTTTTAGTCTATGAGCAGGTTTTCTTATCAAAATAATTCTCTGTAAAGTGATTATTCTGATTTTTTTTTAATTCTCTAAATGTAGGGCTTCATAAATTAGGTATATAAATTTTTTTATGATGTGATTGATGCCCACAAATCATAATTGAATTGTGTATTGAGTTCATCTGCAGAATCTGAAAGGGGGAGGCAGTCTTTTTAAATTGAAGTAAGGTATATGCTATAATATGTATATGCTATAATATGTATATTTTTTAGAAGGTATTTAAGGGCTGGAGAGATGGCTCAGCAGTTAATAGCACTGGCTGCTCTTTAGGGAACCTGGGTTCAATTCCCAGCACTCACATGGCAGCTCACAACTGTCTATAACTTCAGTTCCAGAGGATCTGAAATCCTCACACAGACATAAATACAGGCAAAACACCAGTGAACAACAAACAAACAAATAGATAAATAAAATGATTTAGGGGAGGTATTTAAGTTCAGAATTTTAGTTAAGGTAGGTGCTCCCCTCTCCAATCCTTAGCACTCTAGTTGACTGGTTCCTGCAGCTTCTCAAACACTATGTTTCTCCTTGGACCTTGTGTTTTTGTTGTTCACTGCCTGGGACACCTTATAAGAGCATACATTATTCTCTTTCTTCTAGCCCTTCTGTTAGCTGTCAGTACCTTGGCCTCTAAAATGTAAACTTATACTCCATTGCCACCACTACCACCACCACCCCCGAAAAAAGAAAGAAAAACTCTCAGCATTATTTTTTTTCTGTAACATTGCTCCCTGATCTACTTCATACTTTATTTTTGTTTATCTCTATGTATATTCCTTGAGAGATTTGCCTCTTGTGTTGATTAACATATCTCCTGCTGAAACAGTTGTTGAGTAGATGAATCTTGTAGACTGTCCTTAAGAAGTAGGTTGGGATTCTCAATAAGAGATATAACAAGCTGCATCAGTAGAGTATTTACTCTTCATTTGTAACTAGCAGAGGCCATAATCTCAAGAAAGCATGGAAGGAATGCTAATGCTAGAATTTCTAATTACCTTTATAAATGAAAAATCCAGAAAAATGCAGCAAAGGCTTGAAGGTTAAGGATGTGGGTGAGTGTTAGCAGGCAGGCTGGAGCATCTAAAACTATTTTGTTTAGTAGACAAAATGGAAGAGTGACAAGGGGAATCAGTAAGCTAGAGAATCAAAAAAGTTTATGAAGCTTTGTAGATTTATATGTTTAATGATAAAGAGGTAAAAAATTCATTTTCAATATTCTGCTATTTGTGACTTCCTTAATACTGCATATAAAATCCAAGGGCTTTTTAAGATAGGATTATATTCTATATTGTTACCTGTAGTTATAACATATAATAATTTCTCCAAAGAAAAGAAGGCAGATTTTAAGCAAACAAGATATTTTAATTTAGTGAGACTGTAACTGTGTGGCCAATGTTAATGGTTAGTTAATCTGAAGAAAATAGTCACTGTACTGTTCTCAGATCTTTTCTAATAATTTGAAATGCAGGTAGCAGGGAGATGAAAATATATGAAAAGCTCTTTTCAGGAGTCTACTCCAGGGTTGGTTGGTAATGTACTGATTATCAAAATGGTAAAACATCAGTAGGAAGATAGTTAAGAGTGGCCTTGATGGATGATTATAACTCAGTACTGGATTTGCATCTTGGGTTATTTCTACTTAAGTGGTGATCATATTATAAATCTTCCAAACAAAATCAGTTAAGGTTTGTATATTAAAAGAATTGTGTTAACAAACAAAAACACCTCAGTTTCTAGAAATGAGTATGAAGTCTTAAGATGATATATAATTTAAAATATAGGTCCTTATTTGAAATTATTCTGTTTAAAAACCATTCCAGCATACATTCAAAAACTTCATATATATTTATAACTGGATTTTTTTTTTTAACACTACAGGAGCAATTTACAGCAATGAGGGATTTGTATATGAAGAATGGCCAAGGGTTTGCACTAGTTTATTCAATTACAGCTCAGTCTACGTTTAATGACTTACAAGACTTGAGAGAACAGATTTTACGGGTTAAAGACACAGAAGATGTAAGTATTTTTCTCTCATTAAAATATATTGCCATCTCTCTGCTTTGGCAATAAAAGTGTCTGCTTTATCATCAGTATAAGGTTTGGAAGGTATCTAGCACATGTCAAAAACAGCCCCTCAAAATATGTGTATGGCAAAGTGAGCGTTGTACCATGTGGATAAAAAATACAGGAGAGATGAGGAGTCCAAAAACCTCACAGAAGAAGGAAGAAGTGGGACTCAAGTTGAGCTTTGAATGTGAGAAGTAGTACTCACAGAACCATAATGATTAATGTTCCTTTTTCAAAATTCTATTGTACTTGTTCTTTGGGTTGCTTTAGTGTTTTAACACATTATCTTGCTATATAGCCCAGGATAGCTTAGGCACTTAACCTTCCTATCTCCATCTTCTTTTTTCTTTTGGTTTTTTGAGACAGGGTTTCTCTGTGTAGCCCTAGCTGTCCTAGAACTCTGTAGACCAGGCTGACCTCAAACTCACAGAGGTCCATCTGCCTCTGCCTCCAGAGTGCTGGGATTAAAAGCATTCACTCCTACTGCCCAGCACTCACCCTTCTAAGTACTGGATTTATATGCATGTACAACCTTTCTTATTCTTTAGTTAAAAAAAAAATGGAATATAGTTTACATCTTTACATCAATTTGAGATAGTGGAAAATTTCCTTTTCAGTTATATAAATTAGGATAGAAATTTTCAGTTGCACCTTTCTGGTCTTGTGTACTTTTCTCTAATGTGAGCATATTCATCTGCTCAGGACCTTAAACTTAGTAACATTGTAGATAGGAGGAATTTGTGCCAAAGGACCCCATGACTGCCCTTAATGAATAGTTTTCTTCCTTTCTATGATGAATTTATCCAGAATTCTGTTTTCACAGAGTTACAGTGAGTTCTAGTAATGTCAGTCCCCTTTGTTACATCAGTAAAGGACAAAAGATGAAATTAAAGATGCCTAGACTGTTTAATGTAATCTGTTTTGGGTAGAAGGTTCACCATGTCTCTCACATCTTTTCTTTTGTATAGTGGTGTTGTCTAAACTTTTGTTCTCTAAACTTTTAGCTGAGGAATCTAACACAGTTTGTTAGCTGTGAGAGTAGGATATTGTATTTCAAGATAGTCAAGCATCTGTGGTATGGAGTAAAAGGGAAGAGATGGCGCTTGGTGACTTTTTTTAAATGTATGTATGTATGTGTGTATCTGTGTATTCCATGTGTTGAGGCTAGAAGAGGACATTGGATTCCTTAGAGCTTGAGTTACAGGTGATTGTGAGCTACCTGACTTAAGTGTTGGGAACTGAACTCAGGTCCTGTGAAAGAGCAGCAAATGCTCTTGACCACTGAACCATGTCTCTGGCTCCTATTTTTATTCTTTTGTTTGTTTGTTTGTTTGGTTTTGGTTTTTCGAGACAGGGTTTCTCTGGGTAGCTTTGGAGCCTATCCTGGAACTCACTCTGGAGACCAGGCTGGCCTTGAACTCACAGCGATCCGCCTGTCTCTGCCTTCTGAGTGCTGGGATTAAAGGCGTGCGCCACCAACGCCCGGCTATTTTTATCCTTAATCCTCCTTAATATTTTACCTACATAGTCTTCAAGTCTAATATTAGGTATAGAAGTAGAAGCTGCTAATAATGTCATTATTTTTGGCATTTATTAGAACTATTAGATGAAGCACTTGAACCTCTTAGGATCAGTGAATATAGTGTTTCATGTATTTAAGGGAGAATTCATTTTCCTTCAGAATTTCCTACTTAAAATCAGCTATTTGTAGTAATCCACATAAGAATTTTAGGGTCATTAAGGGATGAAGAGATGACTCAGTAATTAAAGTGCTTGCCATTCTTCCAGAGGACCAGGGTTCAATCCTCAGCATCCATATGGCAGCTCACAACCATCTGTAGCTCTTTAGTCCTCCATAGGTACCACATATGAACATTGTACACAGCATTCATACAAAAAAGCTAAAATTAAGGAAAAAAAAGGGATCATACTATTTAAAATAATCTAGTATCTGAATCTAGTTCTTCCATATTTTTGCCAACCCCACCCCACTCTCGTTCTCCCTCCATTTCTTCTCCCACCCCAAACAACCACAATACACAGCACACTCTTTTTTAAGCATTTGGTGGAGCATACAGTTGTAGACTGGTATGTTTTGGTTGTTAGCAGGTAATTGCTTATTGTCAGAAGAGAGTAGGTAATGAGTATGTAATTCCTTTGTTTTGTTTTTTTTTTTCCTTCCTGCAGGTTCCAATGATTTTGGTTGGCAATAAATGTGACCTGGAAGATGAGCGGGTAGTTGGCAAAGAACAAGGCCAGAATTTAGCAAGACAGTGGTGTAACTGTGCCTTTTTAGAATCCTCTGCAAAGTCAAAGATCAATGTTAATGAGGTAACCTGCAACTACTGGACAGTACAGACAAGTTCTTTTTATTTTCCATTGCCTTAAATTAATATCCAGAATTTTTAAGAAAAAAAATTATCTCAATTTTTATTACCTTGTAGAAAATAGTAATTTCTAGATACTGTGTACCTTGGCTTCCATGATATCACTCTCTGATAGTTGTAATGCAGCCACATAATTTTAACTTGTCAAAGGTTCTGTATAAAGTCCTACTAAGCCTTTTAAGTGCTATGCCAGAGCTAGCATATGAAAATGGCCACACCTTTATGTTGTAACAGTTACTTATCCAGTTGAATATAACCAATGGGTAGTAAAGTCCAATAGGAAAGTCCAATAGGAAACAAAAAAAATTAAGTTGCTATTATAATGGACTTTTGTTATACAATACCATCATAGATTTTGATTTGTGATTCTTGTCTCACTTTTGATGCATGCCTGAAAGTGTGAGGACTATATATGAATGGATATGTAATTCAAACCATTTGGTCCTTTGCACACTGCTGATTTAAGCACTCCACTATCTTAAGATATTAACTGTGGGCCAGAAGGCTTTGCAAATAGGCTATGTGCCTCATTTTAAAGAGCCAATAGTTGACTGAGTTAGAAATTTAGTGCATTTCCTAAATTGCTACCAATCATGTAAACTCATGAGATTCCTTTTGCTTTTGGAACTTTACCAAAAGCCTTTGAAAAAGAAAGTAAATGGGGGCAGAGAGGCAGAGTAAGCCTCCCATCCCCTTCTGTGGCCCATGGAAATATCTCAGGTAACTAAACACAGATGAGAATAGGAATGGGGTTAGGTTGTCGAAGCTGGGGTTTTACTCACTGTTCCTCTCTGGCCTCTGTTCTGTAAGCCACTTTTCATGACTATGCTTGTAGACTATTATTAGACTTTTAAGATGACTAAATTAAACACTTCCCAAGGGAGAAAAAAAATCAGCTTACTGCAGATTCTGTTTGTTACACAGAATCAAGAATGCTAAAGCTTAGTTTTTTAGATGAAACCACTTTTAACAAATAAAAAAAAATCTGTTAATTCCATTTATCTGGCAAACATACTGAGTAGCTATTGTATGCCTGGCACTTCATCCTGCACCCAGGTGGCAGTCATCCAGACAGAACTATTTCCACCCTTAGTACGTTTGCTTCCTAGTTGAGCAGCAATTCCTACTGAGTGCTTCCATAACAGTTTTTTGTTATTCACTGCCAGGTAAATGAGAAGAAACTGATAGACACCTAGCCATCCATTCATCTTTCTTTATTGTAGAATTAGAATTTTCTAGAGGTTTTTTTTTAATTTAATAATAAAAATTTAATGTTTAGTATAGTATTTTCTGAAAGAACGAGTAAGCAAGAAAAGGAGCCAGGTATGGTGGCATACCCTTGTAATGCCAGCACTTTGGAGGCCAATGCAGGAGAATGAGTTCTAGGCCAGCGTGGGCTATATATAATACAACCCTAACTAAAATGAACAAACAATATTTTAATGAAGAATACATTACAGTTGGTGAATGCCCCTGAATAGTTGAATTGTGGTGTAATGTCACCTTATGTGATATGGTTAGCCTTTGGAATCTGGTTCCTTACTGTCTCTGTCACCCTCACTGCTGTCCACCTACCAAGTTCATCAAGTGTGCTGGGGCTGAGTTGGACCAGAGTCCATCACACAAGACCTCTCCTTGTAGGAGCCAGAGTTTAGTATGGAGGAAGTAAGTATTCCTCATTTTTAATCATTACGTGATTATGGGAACCTGCACAGGCTATTAAAACTCCTTTGATTGCAGTTTCTAATGCAACAGAATTGAGTTTTTCACAGCAGTCTTGTTAAAGTTTCACATAGGGGTTTAGAAAACATCATAAAATGTTGTAGTCATTTTATAGTCTCTACTTCTTTGAAAAACACACAGGCTGCATGCTAGAAATGAGAATATAATTTTGAAGTGTTTTGTTTTTTTAAGGCTTTACTTTTCCTAGCCTAATAATTCAGCTGCAGAATTTCTTGAATAGTTCATAGTTGTTGAGACAGTCTGTGCTCCTGTGTAAATGCTTGTGTGGTTTCTGGATGCATGAAGATAGAGAATAATAATTTCACAAGATTCAGCTCTTGACTTTGAATTTGCAAACAGACAAGAACACAGTGCTGGCCGGAGCCCTCTGTATTCTACAAGTAGCAATTGATGCACTGGAATTACCTCAATCTTAGCCCCAGATTTCTTTTTCTTTGCTGAGGCTGGAGTAATGATTGGAATAAAGACATCCCAATTAGGCATGGGAGAGGGGTTGAGAAACTCTATTCTGTGTTCCCTCTAGATTTTTCTATAGTTCAGAGAGATGAGGAAGAACCTAGGCTGGGGACTTTCAGCATTTCTAACCAAATATTATAGTTCGAACTTGCCCTCATCACTGAACCATCTGCTGCTGTGAGGTAGGCAATGTTTTCCAAAGAAATAATTTAGAATAATACTACAAGCAATCAGTTACCTGTCTCTATCATGTGTGCCACAAACTGGACACTGACTGGTATGAAGAAACTGAAATAGGAACTGCATATGTATTTCATTAATTTACTGTTCTGGTTTATCTTTTTGTTACTTTGTATCATAGCTTGCATGTTAAAAGGCTTGTGCACCAATGAGAGCTTTTTCCTGACTCATATACATGAAGTTCTTAAAGGTTTCAGAGTTGTGGAAACAGTATTGGCTTATAAATACTGTAGCTTTAACCTTCTCTTAGAAATTAGCTTATAGAGAACAGAATGTTTTTAGGAAGTGGGTGTTGGATGGATAGGACAAACAGAAAAGAATATATTTATTTATACCTTTGTAATGAATCTGTTCTTTTTTTCCCCCTTTCAACAATTTAGTCTCATAATCTCTGAATTATTTGAAAAAGTAACAGATGATTATTATCTTAAAGAAATGTAGTTTGTCATCATTTAAAAAAAAAAATACACAGGCTAGAGTATAGCTCAGTGGTGGAGGACTTGCCTAACATGCACAGGCTCTGGATTTAATTTCCCATTACCAAAAGAAAAAAAAAACCCAACAACAACAACAAAAAATAAATGTAAGTCACTGGTGTTAAGATCTCTTGCTTTTGAAATTTACTTAATATATGAACAAGAAAAATAGCCTGTTTATTCTTCATTTAGATTCACTAGTAATTAACATTTGGCCACATACTTATAGGAATCATTTTTATCCTATATATTTTAGTATTTGGATTAAAGGCATTCCCAGGCTGTAGAGATTGCTCCAGGATTAAGAGCTCATAAGGCACAGGGTGTTGGTAGCGCACACCTTTAATCCCAGCACTCGGGAGGCAGAAGCAGGCAGATCTCTGTGAGTTCGAGGCCAACCTGGTCTCCAGAGCAAGTGCCAGGATAGGCTCCAAAGCTAGACAGAGAAACCGTGTCTCGACAAACCAAAAAACAAACAAACAAACAAACAAACAAAAGAGCTCATAAGGCTTTATGTAGGGTCATGAGTTCAGGTCCAGCACCCATGGCTCACAACCTCCTTTAAGTCCAGCTGCAGGTGATTTAACACTCCTTGACTCCACAGGCATCCCTCACAGATACATAAATGGAAAACAAGAACATCACTAAAAGAACCTTTAAGGGCATTGTCTAACAAAACCACAACTATTAAAATTATGTAGCTAAAGATACAACTCAGCTATAGAATGTTCGCCTGCATGAGCAAGGCCTGAGTTCAGTTCCCAACACTGCAAAGTAAAAGTAAAATAAGGAAACTTGTCTTCAACACTGTTTTGTTTATATGTGGTTTTATTGTATTAAGTATGCCAATGTGTTAAAGACCATTTCAGCTGAATCTGGTTCTTTGCTATAATAATACAGGCACTGATTTCTTAATGGCCTGGAATGAAAAGGAAGGCCTTCACCATCATCATCCTAATATCTCTTGCAGAGTTGGCTTTAAAGGACACAATAGGCATGGACTGGTAACATTTCAACACATTCCAGAGTTAATAACCCACTTCTATGGAATAAGGAATTTTATATTGCCGGGCATTGGTGGCTCACGTGAGGCCTTTAATCCCAGCACTCGGGAGGCAGAGGCAGGCAGATCTCTGTGAGTTCGAGGCCAGCCTTGTCTCCAGAGCCAGTGCCAGGATAGGCTCCAAAGCTATACAGAGAAACCCTACAAAAACAAAAAAAAAAAAAAAAAAAAAAAAAAAAAAAAGTTGTTTTATATTTGTGTCTTTGATGATTTTACTCTTCCAAGATGAATCTCTAAGATTATTACTGTACTATTTGTGCCTTCAAATTGAGGATTAGTGGACTTTTCCTGTCTGTTGTTGTTACTGTTGTTGTTTTGTTTGCTTTGACTGTGGAGGTGCACACTTTTAATCACAGCACTTAGGAGGTAGAGGTAAATGGACCTCTTGACCAGGCCAGCCTGGTCTACAAAGTAAGTTTCAGGCCATCCAGAGCTGAATAGTAAGACCCTGCCCTAAAAACAAACCCATAAGGATTGGGCATTATGCGCCTGCCATTGTTTACCTGAACAGAGACCATGCTTTTTCCTGTCCCAGCTTAAAATGTACATTTTCATCATCAAATGCAAAGTGAGGGATATTTATTAGACATTATTTTTTCTGAAATGACAAAACCTTGGAAGAAAAAGACCAAAGAACTGTTCCTAATTTTAAAAAGCTAAAAGCAGTTCGTGAGGTAGTATTCATCTATAATCCCAGCACTTGGGAGATGGAGGCAAGAGGATCAGGATTTCAAGGCCACCCTTGCCTAATAGTGAGTTTGAAGCCATAAGAAAATAATAACAGATAGACAGGTGCTACAATATCAGGAAACAAAATGCAGTGTGGATCCTGATAGATTTCTGCCCAAGAGGAAAGTTACATTTTAGGGCCTCATTGAGATAATTGGAATTTACACTGAAGATTATACAAAGAAATGTATTGATGTTTAGGATCAATCCTTGACTAGGATCAGCATTATACTAAGGTTATACAAGAGTATATTCTTGCTGGGTGAGATACCTCACATCTTTGATCCTAGTACTTGGGAGATGGAAGCAGATCTTTGAGTCTGGTCTATACAGTGAAACCCTGTCTTGAAAAACCAGAGAGAGAGAGAGAGAGAGAGAGAGAGAGAGAGAGAGAGAGAGAGAGAGAGAGAGAGAGAGAGAGAGAGAGAGAGAGAGAGAGAGAGAGAGAGAGAGAGAGAGAGAGAGAGTGTGTGTGTGTGGTGTATTCTTGTTCTGGGAGGTACATGCTTAGCTCTTTAAGGATACATGCCACTATCATATGGCTCAAAATTATTACTTGGCTCTAGGAAGAGTATACAAAAGCTATTTGGTGCTATTGCTATAATTTTAATTTTAACTTTACGTGTTCACGTCTATTTTTTTTAATTGACTACTGGCTGTCTAATCTAATAGCAGGTACATATCCTTTATCATGAATAGGTAAGGTCTTCTTTACCCTGAGAGTTAGCTTAGGGAACTAAGAAACTTCTAAAGAAAACAGTAAAGTTCAGATCTAATGGCAGAATAATACTTGGTACTTTCAAAATGATTCTGTGGAACAAACAATCAGTACTTTTTATTGTTGCTTTTACCTAGATATTTTATGACCTGGTCAGACAGATAAATAGAAAAACACCAGTGGAAAAGAAGAAGCCTAAAAAGAAATCATGTCTGCTGCTCTAGACTTGAAGTCAGCAGCAGCTCTGAGCCAGGTAAGATGCTTAAGCAAAGCCTGCCTTGTTTCTCCCAACTTTAACCATTTTACTTACTGTCAGTATTTCTGAGCTTCTACTGCTTATACTTGTGATGGACACCTGTATCTTGTGGGTAATTGGCTTCCTCCCCAGGGGAGTCTAAGTTCTAAGAGTGAAGACCATGGATGATTTGCTCACCATCATGTTGCCAACACTTGCTAAAGAGTGGGTATTTGAGAAATAAATAGTGCTAGTCTGGGTAGAGCACTTACCTAGTGTCAGCATTTCTCTTTGCTCCTCCTTGAACTTAGCATTAGCAAAAACATATAATATGTTGTGTCTGCCTTCGTTCACTCAGAGCTGTGTTTTTAGAAGTATCCATGTTATGTGTATAAGTAGTTTATTTTTATTATATGATAATACTTAATTTATTACTTGACTAATGGGTGTTCTGCTACTGAGGAACTTTAGAGGAATTAATATGGATAATACTGAGCCAAGCCTAGCAGCTCACACTATTATCCCAAAGAATGAGACAGGAAGATTAGATGGTCAAAGCCAGCCTCCCTTACATATCAAAGTCAGAACAGTCAGGGCTACAAGAGACCCTGGCTTTAAATTAAAACAAACAAAATATACTTAAGTGCTTGTACCAGGGTACGTGCACCAGCAATTCATGAGTTCCATATCCTCCCCAAGATTGCTGTTTTCAGGCTTTTTAAACTAAACTGAGCCATTCTGTTTGATTTGTGATGGCATATGTAGTTCTACTTGTCAGTTCTCAAGAGTGGGTGACTTTTCAACAAATGCTTTACCAGTCTGCATCAAGTGGAAGTTGACTTCAGGTAGCATTTCAACTTTCATTAAGTAGACCCACTGGAGAGAAATTCCTGGCAGCATTTGCACTGCTAGTCAGGTATGAAGCCAGGCCCTGTGAGCTGATTACTTGTTTTCCCTTAATTACATATTTAAATCTTCTGATATTTCTTCTTTGGCAGCTATTAAACCCAAACAGAATGCTTTCGTGGAGCAGATGTATGGTGTAGTCTGAGGCTAATTAATGTGAATATGACTAAACTTGATGGAGTTAGAAGAGGAACATAAACTCTCCTCACTTGAGAGTTGATGACACTAACTACTGTGGATCTCTGGGGCCTGTTTAGTAGATTACTGCTTTCTGAGCTCCTGATGAGCTAATTTGTGCTCCTTAGAGATAGAGATGAATAAGAACCTCTCTTAGGGAAAACAATTGAGTAACTGCAACCCCTTTTTATGGAAAAATAGAAAGGAGGAAAAACATAGTTGTCTCAGATGGTCAAACTTGGAAGGTCAGCTTCTGGTTAAGTGCTTTCTTTTTCTGAAGAACTAAGTAGCTTTTCCTGAAACTGATTGGTTAAAAGACTTTAAATTATTAGTTTCCTGACAGTGATTATTGTTAAGATTATTGTGTGTTTAAGGAAGGGTACAAAGACAGAAACTTGAGGATTCAAGTTGATAATGTGTTGTTTTACTCTTTTATAGTTGACTGGCTTATTGACACCATTACCTTGGAAAACCTGAGTTTTAACTTTGCATTCTCAGAAAATGTTATTTTAGCTTAAAGGAAAAGATAGCACTTGGCCTATTATGATTTTAAAATGCATTCGTACAATTTAGAGAGAAATCTTGCCTAGGTCTGGCAATAAGCCATTCATGTTGGTTGCATCAATCCTTAGACTTGCACATAATTCAATTTAAAATGTAATCTCCTGAGATCTTGTAGAAGTGTGATGAGAGAGGCCTTAGTAATCAGAATGCTTTGAAGTACAGAATGCTTTGAGTAGCTGAACCTTGGGGGCCACTTATATGAATATAGCCTTTAAGTAGAATCATATTAAAACATGTAAATCTCTTAAATATCCCAGTTTTAAAGAGCTTAGAGAAGTAAATCATTAGGAGTCTCCCTCTAAACTAATTGGCTTCTGCTGAGTAGTAGGACCTTCTGATTCTTCTGCCTTTGAGTATGGGCTCTTTCTGCGTTGTCTCTTACCAGCTGTGTTAGTGTACCTAATATGGGATCAGAGAATGGCTGAATGTAGAATTTCCCACAGAGAGTTTATGTTGACAAATATTGAACTTTCAAAAATCAGATAATGGGATACAGGTGGAATATTACTGTCTGCCTCCTTATAGGTAGGGTATCAGATAAGATGTGAATTACTAAGTATAATAAAACTAGGGACAAACAAAAAAATGATTACTAATAACCATTTGTGAACTCAGTGTTCTATATTTGAATTTTGAACTTTTGAGGCAGTCTCAAGTACTCCAAACAGTTGTCAGGGTTATACTTGAACTCCTGATCCTCATGCCACCACACCTGGTTTATTTTTGAACATGTTTAATGGAAAGGTAAAATAGCTCTTCTACTGAAGTAGCTTGGTGTAATTTAGATCCTTAGTAATGGTCAGTAGATGTCATCATTTGTGTGTTGTTAGATATGTTTATTGACTGCCACCTTCTGACAGTGAAAGAACTCTGTATGTCTGTGTCTGCTCAATGTTCCAGATTACAGAAATGAAGAACTGTTGCCTAATTGGAAAGTGCCAGCATTCCAGACTTCAAAAAACTAAATCTGAAGAGGCTTCTCCTGTTTTATATATTATGTGAAGAATTTAGATCTTATATTGGTTTGCACAAGTTCCCTGGAGAAAAAGTTGCTCTGTGTATATCTCCTGGAAATAAGACATAGTATTTCTCCTTTGCAATAGCAGTTATAACAGATGTGAAATAAGATACTTGACTCTAATACAATTACACAGAAGAGCATGGATGCATTTCAAATGTTAGATGTTACTACTATAATCAAATGATTTCATATTGACCTTTTTATCATGACTCCTCCCTATCAAGCACTAAAAAATTGAACCATCATACTTTATATCTGTAATGATATAGATTATGAAATCGCCCTTCAAACTCATTGCAGCAGATAACATTTTTGAGTCATTGACTTCATTTTATATTTAAAATTATGAAAATATCATCTGTCATTATATTCTAATTAAAATTGTTTGTGCATAATGCTTTGAAAAAATGGGTCTTTTATAGGGAAAAAACTGGGATAACTGATTTCTATGGCTTTCAAAGCTAAAATATATAATATACTAAACCAACTCTAATATTGCTTCTTGTGTTTTACTGTCAGATTAAATTACAGCTTTTATGGATGATTAAATTTTAGTACATTTTCATTTGGTTTGTGTCTTTTTGTTATTGTTTATAGATTTAAGTCCTTTATTTGATAATGACTACATTGTTTAAAATGCAACAGTAGCTCCTTTCTGCCTGGATCAGCAGAACCTTGGCTTTAAACTACACTAATCAGTGATCTCTCTAGGAACAGACCTTGCACTTCCTGCTCTAGATATATTTATTCCTACTATACAGTAAAATACACCAGACAACATAGAATAGTTTTGTATATTCTCTCTTGACCTTAAAGATTGTATCTTATTGAATAAAATATCCCACTCTGTATTATTTTTATATGTAAAAAGAAAGTTTAATACTGTATCAGGGTTTGACTTTGACTATTGCAAATCCTGCACAGCTTGTAATTTCATCCAGGGAATCCTTGCCATTGTTAATTTGTTGGTGCGAGTGAATCCACCAATGAAGTGTTATGTGAAAGTTTTCAAACTTGCTTTCTGATAGATTGAAGAACTTGAGGGAAGTGGTTGCAACTCAGAACACAAAAAAGGGATGCGTGACTTGACAATATGAGCAGTGTAGCAGGAATGATATGAAGCTAGCTCCGTCACAGTTTTAGCTGGCTGCATAGAGGTGCTTTTCTTTCCTTCTCAGTTCTCAGTTGCATTTATAAAGGTGGGGCTTATAGAGGACATGTACCAGGGTGATACTGTTGTGTGTTCTCCACGAAGAAAGGAGAAGCAAATGGCTTGTTGGCCAGGTGCTTACTGGAGAAGAAAGCAGATTGCAAGCTTAGGAAACCCTGTGCCTTGTCCCTGAAAATCAAGGAGACCAGTCCTAGAAAGTAAATCTTTGCTCAGGGATCTAGATATGGTCTCATCTCAGCTAGTTGTGAAGAGGTGTTCATGCCTTGCTGAGACTTGCCAGGTATGTAGCCAGCCCTTCAGTTTCTAAGTCAGCTTTCAAATGTAAGATCTGACCAACCTGAAGAAATGTCAAAAAAATACTGTTTGAAAAATTGGAAATTGTATTCTTTTGATATTCTAATAAACTTAGCTACTTAACATTTCCCTTCTCTTGATGCAGTTATGCATGTCTGTGACTGAGGGGCAAAACCTTAAACTAAAATGCAAGTGGAAGGGTAAGGCCAGTTTGTCCCAGAGAGAACATCGGGGCTTCTTGTTGGGTTGTTTGTGTTTGTTCTTTCAATGGGGTCCTAATGGGCTACCCCAGCCAGCTTCAAGCTTCTGGGTTCAGGTGATCCTCCTGCCTCCTCATCTCAAGTAACTAGGACTACGGGAACATGTCACTGTGTGCCCAGTTAGAGGCATACCATATTTTAAGGACCTTTGAAATCATTATGCTTTGAAATACTTCTCACACATTTCTTTGGACTTAAAATCATGGACAGACAGACCTCTCACAAACCAGTAAAATGTTTAAATCATGTGTCAAATGGGTTGTGTAGGTATTTGTTATGGTAAATTGACACCAGTAGCATGAACTGATTTTTTTTTATCGGTTTCCTTTTTCATCTCTTACACTCTCCACTTGGATTAAAGGTAAAATTCAAGAAAACTGCCTTTTTTGACACCCAGGGGCATTCAAGTCAGGACCAGTGGAGTCAGGAATGCAGTATTACCTAAAGGAAATCTGTACTTGCTGAGCAATTTGGGAAGGTGTCCTGTTAAGAGAAAAAGTTGTCTTTTTATAATGTCTTTTTGTGAACTCCTTGGTCTTGGAAGGGGTGCCCAAAGACAATATATTTTTATAGCCAAGAAACCATGTTTCTAGGGTATTAACTTGCATATCATGATGCATATCCGTGAATGAATTCCATAGTAGTGTCTGTGGCTGTTTCAGGTATAATAGCTTTAGTTGTGTGAAAAGACATTCACTTAAAGGAAGCTTGATGCTACAATTGGTAGTTTTTCTTTCCCCCCAACTAGACCACAAGCAGCTTGAATGATTTGATGCCTCCAGTATAGTTTTAGAATTAACAGTAAATACTAGTATATCATCTTACCCTCCACCAGGGGGAGCTTCAGTACCAGATAGATGATGCGTCTTTCTGCCAGCATTGTATCAAAAATACTCTGTACATGACTTTCCTTACAAAGAGGCATGGAAGCTCTCCCTCAAAGAGGAAAGATACACAAAATGTGTTGTGTGGAGGGCAGGGTATGAATACCATTAGCTTAATGAACTGTGGCCACTTAAGTATTGTTCTTAATGTTTGGAGAAACAGTGGCCATTGGCGTATAACTGCTGTCCCCCCACAGGCCTGAACTCATCTTGGTCTGGCACCTTCATCTACTGTCATCAGAGACCATGTTTTACTCCTCAGTACAACAGTTCTGAAGTTGTAATGTACTTGGAAAAAAATAATATATAGAGAAAATGCTGTTATTTTTCTATCCACTTCATTGAAATTAGTGGTTTGGAGTTATTTTTCTCCTCATACAAAAAGTAATAAAACATTCTGCATGTCTTGAGTCTAGCCACTTTAAAATAGCTTCCCTGCGTGCCCTCATATATCAACAAATATTTGTCAGTTATATTTCTGGTTTTGGTGTAGGAACTAAGGGGCAAAAAGAGAATGAGTAATATGTTTTTCTTCCTGACCAGTACTCACAGGATGTTAGAAAACAAAATATGCTCTTATAAATTATGTGTTGAAACCAGCATATGAAGAAATAATCTCATAATTGGAGAAAAATAATTTTCAAATTGACTTTTATTTGAGTCTTGTGCTTATTTAAGGTGCTAAATATATAGTAAAGTAGGCCCACTGAATCCACACCAAACATCAAAGGACACGTTGCTCTGCATGCTCTTCTAGGATCTGGACAAAGCCTGTCTGGTGGGAAGCAAATGAATGTGAGGTCTGAATTGAGAGGTCTGAATACCCAGCTATTAGTTGCTCAGAATATAAACACAGATATTCTTGCAAGTACAGTGCAGCTATTTGGTTCACCTTTATGGGTTTCTTTTCCTGCAGTTTCATCTTGGATTCATTGACTGTGCAGTCCTCAACTCTGTCCCGTTTAAATGTTCCTTTAGGAACAGCTAGAGACTTTGAACTGGGTGCCTACTCCTTTTTTTTGGAAAGGCAACATGGGTTCTGTTTTCCAGGCATTAACAGCCTTCGGAAGAAACTTGGGAGTTGCAAGTGCATTGGGTTTGTTAAGAAGCAGACAACTATAGTTCTAGGCCTACCTGCTAATTGCTTATGCAAGAATTGGCTGTTCCCACAAGGGAAAAACTTTAATAAACCTTCCCAATTTTAAACAGGTGTGTGTCTTTTACTTTGAACTGTTGTTTTCAGTGATTTTTCTTTCATCTTACCCATGTTCAAATTCTTACACTAAAGTTGGAGAGCCTACAAATCAGAAAATGTGTGATCTTTATGGGCCTGTCAGCAGTTACTGTTATTTGTGCTGTAAACCAGTACTTCTGAATGCATGGGATGTAACAATGAATCAAACATACCCAAATACCTTCCCTTGTAGACTTTTAACCTTTAGAAAAACGGCAAAAGATTGGGGTAGGGAGATGAATAAGTAGGTACTCTAAAGTGCTTTCTGTGCAAACATAAAGACTCATACCCATGTAAAATGCAGGGCCTGGTGGTTCCGTGATCCCGACACTGGCAAGTGGAAAAAGATAATCCCAGGAACTATCAAGTCTAGCCAAACAGTGGGCTCCAGATTCAATGAGAGAGCCCGTCCTAAAGTGGAGAGTGATAGAGGGAGACATTCAACATTGACTCTAGCCGTCACAGTGCACATATCACACATGTAGATAAATAAAACTGTTTAAAACCCCTGTGTGTTTATTATGATGGATGCTGTTTTAAATGGTACAACGGCAACAGGAATGAGTGGGTGAAAGATTTATGTGTCCCTGTGTTATGTGAGGAAACACTGAAAATGTGAGCCCATGCCAGCTGCCTAGGAGAAAGAAGGGTCTTCATACAGGGAAAGGGTAAGGGCAAGAGCCTTACTCTATCTAGCACATCCTGGGCAAGTTGGAAGACTAATGAAGAGGTCAGCATGTCTGGAGGAGAATAATATAAATAATAGAATTGTCTGAGTTGAATATGGAGGGGGCAAATCAGCATTATTCTGGGGATTATTGTAACAAAAGGCAAAGGCACAGCACAGAATCAGTAGTATGTCATCAAGAACACTGTTGGGGGCTGGAGAGATGGCTCAGCAGTTGATCTTGAAGAGGTCCCAGAACCCAAATGGCAGCTCACAATCGTCTCACTCTAGTTCAGGGTTCTGGCCCCTTTTCTGGTTCCATGGGCACTGCACACATGTGAACATACACACATGCAGGCAAAACACCCATACAAATTACCTTTATCAGTTCTTTATGAACTGCCAGTTCTTGACACTGGCTCACAAGGATGTTAGAAAGGATTAAGGAGGAAAAGCTTTTGCTCTTATTTCTGTGTTAACTGACATGATTCGTTCCCCTCATGCGTAGCACAGGGCTGACACCCTGGACATTTGGTAACTACTAGCTCTCCCATACCTTATTAGGTTTCTCTCTGTCTTTACACCATAGATGAGGCAGCAGCCCCTCTGGCTGTCTAGAATTGTGCTGTATCATAGATTTTAGTCCTATCAGGTAGATGCCAGCTTCCTCATTGACAGCCCATTGTCAGGCCCTTCCATGTGGGTGAGAAATCCACAGGCCACAGTTAATGTAGCTCCTGGTCCAACTTGTCTAAGCATTACTGACATTTTCCTCTCCAGCTGGATGGGCTGTAGTTTGAAGGAAAGTCTGGGATAAGGGGGTGCTAGGCATTCAGCCTTCCCAGTTTGCAGAGTAGGGCTTGGCGCATCGGAGCCTGCCTGTCCTTTGTGAACTGTGTAGAGTTAACAGAAGCTTGGAGACACCATTTGATCCCTATACTCCCAGAAGGGTCCTAAAGCCTATGCCAAAAGCTTTGGAGCTCTTAGGACCCCTGGTACCACTGATGCAAAACTTAACCATTTTCTGGGCTCTGCCTTTCCTTATCAGCAATTGCTTGGAACCTCAGCAGAGGGTCTGAACTCAAATTCACCGATTTTGCCCTAGGGCTCTATGATGATGAGCTAGCCCCTTAGGCCAATGGTGGTTGTGAATTGAACAAGGACATGGTCCTGAGATGCCCAGGGAGCTGGTGGTATAAAAGGGTTCAGTTGTGCTTGCCTCATTTGGAAGAAACGCTTTTTGTGTGTATGTGCTTGATTCAGGGGTAGGGAGGAGGTGGCTCAATGGTAGAGTGTGAATCTAGGCTAAGCAAGGCCAGGGAGTCCATCCCCAGTGCAGGTGGCTGCACGGGCATGGGCGCGCGCACACACGCGCGCACACACACGCACGGCACCTTCCTAAGTTCCTGCTGTCCAGCCCGCTCCCACAACTTCTACACAAGTGCCTGAGCACCTTCTGGGCCTGGTGGGGAGACAATGCTTGGAGTGTGGCCAGAAGTGGAACTGGAGGTAGAGGAGGCACTCACCACCCAACTCTTAATTTCCTTCCCTGCTACCCTGCCCACCCCACCCCTCCTTTAATAGACACAATAAGGGGAGGAGGATCTAGCAGACTTGGTGTCCCCAATAGAGCATAGTAATTTAGGAAAACATCCTGGGGTAGGAAAGTCTGGGACCAGATGTTGGTTAAAAAAAAAAAAAAAAGCATCCATGGAGGTGACCCAGGTCAGGAAGGCTGGAAGAAAGAGGCCAGGAAAGAGAAAATTTGGGGGCTGGGACAAAGGTGACTTCTTCAGTGGCTGTTGAGAGAGAAATGGCTGTGATCATCTGAAAGGCCTGAGCAGCCCAGTGACAGTATGAAAACAGAGATAGAGAGGTGAGGGAAGGGAGGTGAGACTCCACAGCCAGCCAGAGTTAAAATAGAATTGGTTTGAGAAGCCAAGCAGTGGACCAGGGCCGGGACTTTGCAACAGCTTCAAGAGGGGGTCGTCTGCTGAAGTTTCCTGCTCTGACAATACCTGGTCACCACTCCCCTCTTTCCTAGGGAATGGACTTTGAAACTGTGAAAAACAGAGTAGGAGGGGGTCAGCTAAGAAAAGTTTGGCCACTTGGCCATTGGCTGTTCCTAAACAGTATAAACTAATGATGGGCTCAGCTCAGGACTCCCTGTGGGGTGGAAATCATCCACCAGTACTGCTTCCTCAGTACTGGAAGCAGAAAAACTGAGTAGTTGCTACCCTGGAGATGTTCAGGAGTCTGGAGATAAGGAAAGCATGCATAGAAGCGACTCACCAAGCTGAGTAAGTACTGGGATTTAGGCCAAGACACAGACCAAGCCTATGGGGGAAGAGTCCAAGGTGGCTTTCAAGCTGAGAAAAGTAAAAAGTAAAAGGCAGTCTGTGCAGGAACTGGACTCAGGACAGCACAGGCAGACCCGAGCTTGGGACACTAAAGGTAACCCATCTCCTTGGTGGGTAAAGTGAGGGAGAAGTTCCAGAAACAAGGCCCAGCAAGCCAGTCGGGGTCTACTTGAGCAAGGTTGGGCCTCTGACACTGGGGACAGACAGGAAGGCCGGGTTGAAGTCACAAACAGCTCCTACACCCCGTTGGTGTCCTTACAAACCCTGGACCATACTTAGACGTGGACGGTTTTCCCCTTTGAACCAGCACCTACATAGGGAGAGTTAAAAATAAGAAGAGGTGCAGAACACTGATTTCTACTATCCCTGGGCAGGGTAGAGTCCAGTCAAGGATCCTGCTTGAAGAGATGAAGAGGAAAGAAAAACTTAGTGATTGCCAAGGCTCCCTATGAGAGATTTTCCCCCAGCTATGGACACATTGACTTGTGGCCTCTGACCAGCACAGGGGTGCTTTCAGGGAACAGTGGGGGCGGTGATGGGGAGTGGGGCACTGGAATGTAAGAATGAGAACTTTGTTGCAGGGATGAAGAGGACTCCTTGATGATAGCTTGCATGGGTGTGCATTGGGCATGCAGAAGGTGGGAGGAAGGGATACCCTGGGACTGATGGACGGAAAGGATCATAGGAAGGGCAGGGAGTAGGTCTTGTCAAGTTCCTTCCCCACTTGACAAAAAGTATGAGTGTAAGATTTGGCAAAACAGCCCAGGTAAGCAACATCTCTACAGTGGACAAAACCAACATCTCTGATCCTTGCCACAATCCTGTGATCAAATGAGAGGCACTGTACTTTTTAGCACAACACCCAGGCTCAGAGAAAGCACTGTTTATTTTCAGCATTGTCCCTTGGGGTCTGTGGTTAGGCTGGGGATGGTGGCTAGTGCCATTTCTGTGGAACCTGTGTGTTGGGAACAGTGGACTCCACGTCGGTGCATTGTGTTTTGCACCTGACAGCAGCCCTGCATCAAACCAGCTTCACACGAGAGTAGAGGAGGCTCCAACAGGGCAGGCAACATGCTCAGGCTCACACAAAAACAGGCCTGGGTCTGGATTCTTATTTACTTGACTCTCAGATCAGGAATTCATAGAAATGCTTGGTGCTGGCAGAAACTCCTAACTGCCCTGGTTGGAGAGTTCACCTGAGGTGAATGGACACTTCTCCAGAGAAGCTGCACACAGGCTGCAGCTTCCCAGACAGTCTGTACTCTTGATTTTATCCTGCAGAGAATGTTGGGGTGACTTGAGAAAGATAGGGTCCTCTCTGGAGCCTCTGGGGAACAGGTGAGGATGGTAGGCAGAGTTGAGTCAGTTTGGGTTAGAGAGCACCCTAAGGGTAGGCTGCAGAAGAGCCTAGAAAGAAAAAAGAGAGGTTCCAGTTCTACAGGCCTGTAAAGAGGAAACAATGAGATTTGGCAGGCTCTACCAACCATGCCCAGCAGTCGAGGGAATCTTCCCGTGGATGCTGTCGTTGGAGAATATCTACAGACTGGCCACAAGCAGGTGGAGCCCTGAGAAGGTGCCTAGGCCAACTCAGAGGCCATCAGTACCTGCCAAGGAATTAGGCCAGGTATGGGGCAGGCCTCCATGCCAAGAAGGGTATAGCATGAACTTCCAGCTCATTCGCATGTCCTAATTAACCAGAAAATGAGCCCAAGAGGCAGAATTAAGCTGTCAGTTTCTCTGTCTACTTTTTCACTGTCTCCTCCACCTAAACATTGCCCTGCACTCTGCAACACTACAGCCTGAGGCATTGCTAGTCACCTCTGCACTCTACTTCAGTAGAGCAGTCTCCATCACTGTCTCACAGCAGGAGCCAAGAATGTGGACAGAAAAGTAAAAATTACATAAGGTTGAGTTACCATCATCTTTCATCAGTAAAGCATGACGTAGTCAGTGGGACATTATATCAGCCCCTTTAATGCCCAGGCAAAATTCCTCCAGTAGTCCTCCAACAGATATTCCTCAAATAGACAATGAGCATGCCACTTGTTAATCATGAAAAGGTGTGAATAATCTCAGAGGGCAAATGTTGTTGTTCCTGATCCAGCTGTAGAGCAGATATGGACAGTTTGCCAGGTATAGGAACACAAGATTGGAAGTCAATTACAAACTATTTCAATGCAAGCTTTGTATTGTTTGGCCTTGAAGGAGTTAACTTCTCTGAGCCCCTATTCAGGTAAAATGAGCTAAAATAAGCAGCCATTTCCTGGGCGTAGTAGCAAAAAGGAAATAAGAGTATAAATAAAGGCAAAGGTGCCCGGCACCTGTGGATTATCTTGGAAGCCGAAATTACTTCCTAATTGTTTTGTTTTGGTCCTTTGACTCTTTTCTAGCCAGGTAATGATTAACTCCATTTCTTTGTGTGCCTCAGTAGCTTGGAGGAGAGCAGCTTGTTCCTTTCCCATCGCTGAGTTCTCATCTTCCATGGCAATGCCCAGACGGGAGAGGAGTCGGCCATGTTCATCAATTTAGCCGATGTTAACTAGCACTAGTTCACAAAACTAGTGAGTTGCGTATGGATGAAGAGGTGACTTGGCTTCCTATTCAATATAGTCCATGCCCTCTTGAATAATTTCTTGAGTGTTCCACCCTTCAGGAATCAGGGTGTAAGTTTCTCACATGTTCATTTTCTACACACATTGCTGCAGCCACCAAAGGCAGCAACAGTTCAAGAAATTCAGGTGAGGCAGGATGGACAATGACCTGCTTGGCCAGAGAGAGTGAGGCCAGCTGACAAGCTCCAGGCCAAGGTAGATAGGCCTGATGCCCAGGGATCCTAACTGGGAGCTGCTTTCCTTTCCAAGCAGCCTGATCTGGGCAGCCTGAACGCTATGACTTTTTGACCCATTGATTTATCGGGGAAATAATTCTAGGTCATCCTAGGTCTGAAAGAGATGGGAGCATTGCCTGGCAAAAAGTGACAGATCAAAGCTAAAACTAAAAAACCCTTTCCCCACTAAAAAATGACCATCTATCATTTGATTGTGTGGGAACGTGCAGATGACCCTCCCCACAGCTGCTGCTACCTCCCTACACCCAGTTTCAGCAAAAGCCCCCCCTTCCTCCACTCAGTCCCCTGGGGGTCCAGGCTGAAGGCAGAAGAGCTTCTCTTGTTATTTTTCTTCTCCAATTTTCTCTAATGCTCTGGGGGCAGCAGGCGGCTTGCCTCTAATTGCAGTTGTCACACCCCATCAAGCTGAGCTGGGTCTGGGAGGGGTGAGGGAGGAGCTAAGCCTGAGGGCGGCTGGGCTTGAACAGGGACCTACTTTGTCCTCTCCTGGCCAAGGAGGGAGGGCCGAGATGGCCCCTCTATGGACCCAGGCCATCCTGGGCTTGCTTGTGGTCTCACTACACAACATGCCTGGTGTTAACCCCACCCTGAGGGTGCCTGGTTGGTTTCCAGGGTGAGGGTAGATGAGGCCAGGATTTGTTCTATTTGCTAGGTGACTGTGAGATGTGGACTAGGACTTTTTTTTTTTTTTTTTTTTCCATGTATGAGTTTTGGTTCTGGGCTCACCAGCCATCTGCCGCCCTGCAGGAGCATTAAGGCAGGCAAAGGAGTCTGGATGGGGACTCACTGTTGGACCAGGCCGTGTGTGACTCCAGGGTCCAGCAATAACCCTGAGGTGGCCCTGACCTGTTTTGCCCCCTAGCAGTCATGAGTGTACTTTTGGACACCTCAGAGATTGCTGCTTCATCTGCAAAGTGGACATGCCTACTTGGATTCATGGCAGCACCTGGGTGAAGTCAAGTTGCTCCTCCTCTGCACTTTGGAGATACAAGAGCATCTCGGGCTTCCTCACCACACACACACACACACACACACACACACACACACACACACTCTCTCCAGGGACTCTTACCTGAGCCTGCCCTGTGACAGCCTCTCCCCACTGTTTCAGTGGGGCCTGACTAAGAACTCTGCTGTCCTTTCTTTCCGAGGATGAGAACTTGCATCTGGCCTGAAGACCATGACATCTGCCCTCCCTCTCCCACCAGGGCCCAGCACGAGACCACCTTTTAGGTTCAGCCAGTGTCTCTCAAATTCAGACCCATACAGCTGTGTTAATGTCAAAGCCCCCACGGGAGGGTTCTAAGGCCTTGGGGCTGCTTGTGGCAGGGGTTTCGGTGTGTCTAGGCTCTCCGGAGCTTGAGAAGGGGAACCGTCCAGAGCCCTTGGAAAGGCTCCTCTTCTTGGCTTTCTGGGAGCGTCCTGCTCGTGACTCAGAGACCATGGGAGTCATCCAGCCTGGCTTTTCCTTGAGCAGCCTGTCTCGGTCAGGCCGCACGCTACGCAAGAACTTCCTAAAAATGTTTGCTGTTAGGGCAAACTTGCGACCCAGCTCCCTGGACTGGCCTTTTTCTCCTTTGGGTTCACTGGGTCCCCCAGTCTCACTCTTTTCCCCTCCTTTTTCCAGTTCTGGTAAGTCTAGCCAGTTGCCCACCAGGTCTGCAAAAACATTGTCCCCTAATACCAGAGGCTGCCGATTTCTGCCCCGGGACATCAACGTGGAGGTCCAGTCATCTGGTTCCTCCCACTCTAGCCCCTGATGGGTACAGCTATTGTGCTCCTGAAGCTGTGTCTTAGGAAGGACAGCAAGATCCTTCCCACAGACACTCCTATGGCATGGAAACTTGGGGCTGCTGTCAAAAGAAGGCTGGATGGAGGAAGGATGGGCCATAGGCCCGGTAGGACCTCCGCTACCCTGCCAGCAAGGGCATTCCGGCTGTTTCTGTGAGTTTTCGGGGCAGCTGAAGGCCGGCGTGCCTCCAGAAATTTCCAGCTGTTCCAATGCTGTTTGCACCTGTAGGAGCTTCAGTTCTTGCAGTGCACCCATCATGCAGTTCATCTGATCCTGTAAGCCATCCCCCACCTCTTTCATGGACATCTGCAAGGAGAGAAAACACAGGGCCATTGAGCGCTCCAGCTACAGGGAGACTCACCCTCAGCCTTGAACCTCAACCTGTAACCCTGAAACATACATTTCCCGGGTCATCCAAGCCTGCCATTAGAACCTCATCTCTACAGTCTGCCACAGGGCAGACCTGTGTCATGAGAGGAGGAATCTGAACACTGCTATGACTGAATAAGAGAAATAAGGTTAATAGCAGTGAACTAACCAAGACAGACACTGCCCTAAAAGCTGTTCATATGCCCCACCACTTGCTAAATCCAAAGAAATTATCATTAAGTTGAAAATGCATTCAATACACTTAAGCCATCAAACATCACAGCTTGGTCTAACCTACATCCAAGTACTCAGAACTTATATTAGCCTACAGATGGAAAACCTATCCAAATCCTATTACATGATAATGAAGTATTGACTTCATTACTGTACTGAACACACCTGTCTCAATCAAACAAACAAACCAACAGAAAAGCCTAGCATGACTTTATGGGTATACTTTGTTCAATAATCATTAAGTTAGAGACTGGCATTTTATATGTACAGTTGGTTAGTTGCCTGGTGTGTGTGTGTGTGTGTGTGTGTGTGTGTGTGTGTGTGTATAGACATATTTGTATAGATACATATGTGGATTTATATATCAACTTATATTATTAATTACCCTACTTTAATCCTTCCAACTGCTTTTTGAGATTGTGACTATTATTGCTTCCATCTGACAGATAACTAAGGCCCATCAGTGATTAGATAGTAAGAGGTGGAGCTGAGTTTAGTCTGAGGGTATACAGAGAGGTAGTGGTGAGGCTAGAGAGATGGCTCAGAGGTTAACAGCACTGGCTGAGCTTCCAGAGGATCCAGGCTCAATTCCCACCACCCACGTGGCAACTCACAACTGTATGTAACTCTAGTTCTAGGGGATCTGACGCCCTCTTCTAGCTTCCTTGGACACTACATACTTGTGGATAATGGTAGCAATAAATATGTGGGAATATTTACTATGTAATGGGAATCACGCTGATAGACTCCGTGTCTCATCTCATTCAGTTTCTATAAACTCTGGAAGGTTGTTATTCTCACCTCAGCAAGTGAATAAGCTGTGGCAGGAGGGAAGCCAGGAACTTGAGGCCAGGCAGCTCATAGAGCCAGGACTCAAGTTCAGGTTGACCTGCAGATGACTAGGCAACAGGGCCAGACTTGAAGGCCACTCTGTCCTCTAGAGAGCAGTAGAGAGGAGAAGGCACAGGAGAGAGAAAAGGCTGGGGCTGTTTCTAACTGCTCTTCATATATGACTGGTCAGGAGAGAGAGGCCAGAGATCCTTTGAGCCAGAAGTCCCTGCCCAGCCCTGCCCAGGCCCCTGCCAAGCACCTGTTCCCTCAAGCTTGGATCTAGCATTATTCCTGCCTTCTCAGCCTTGCTGGCTGTCCTAGCCATAACAGAAGCAGGGATTCAGGGGCCAGATCCCCTAGCCCTATGTCCTAGGTACCATCTGGAAGGGGCTGAGGGACTGAGTGACTTGGGTGAGGGCCCTTCTTGGAGGCTGGGGAGGAAAGGCAGCCCCTGATAACATTCACAAAGTTCCTAGCCCCTGTGCCCAAGCTGCCTTGGGCCTGCCAGCTCCCTCCCCACACCCTGATCAAGTTACTTACAGTGAGCCTCTGTGCAGGAACCATCTGTTTTTAAGCCCCCCAGAGACCCATGGGATCATCTTACCTCCCAGGCTTGCCTTAATGCCCAGAGCTAAGCCCAAGAGGTGGGGGTGGGGAACCAAAATAGTGGGGGACACAGAGGCACTGCAGTGTGGACTGCCAGTTAGCCCTCTCTGGCTTCTGGGTCAAATCTCCTGCCAACCCCAGCTTGGTGGACAGAGATCTGTCCAAGCTCCCTTGAGCCAGCAGCAATGAAAGTCGGTGGAGGACTGTCAGCCCCCGAGAGCCAGGAGGCCTTTGCTGGCCTACAGAGATTGCCCTTGCTTTGTGCACTTAACTAAGACAGGGCAAGAAGGGGCAGAGCCCAAGAGCCGTGGGGTTGGCTGGGGCACACATGTGCCATTTGAGTGGCAGGAGTGGTGGTGCAGCAGTGATGGGAAGGAGACACAGAACCCATGGAGTGGCTGTGCCTGTCATTGGTGGCCCTGGTCCTGACCCCTTCCTTTCAGAGATGCTCAGCTGCTATTGCTATAGCTCTGAATTGAGCTACAGACGCCGGGATGCAAACCCAGATCAGTTCCTCCCTCACAAATGGTTTTACCTTCCAATTGCCCTATTTGCCCCCATGCTCTCATCTACTCTCCTGTCACCTGAACATCTATTCAGTCACTCTGTTCCTGTCTAATGTATCCCCGCACTGACCTCTAGGCCACCAGACCCAGGAGTGCCCGACCACTCCTCCAGATGCCCATCTCCATCCCGTCAACTCACTCGGTGGCTTTCTATTGTCGAAACTCAATTATTATGAGTCTCCAAGCTATTAAGCTCTAGTTAAGACCCATGATGGACATTTTAATTCCAGAAATTTAAATACACATCTCATACATGTTCCCACTATGCCCCTATCAGGCCTCCTCTTAGATCCTTGAGGTACGTGTCCCCAAAGTCCTTCTTCTGTACAGGGCCCATGTCTTCCATGGTTTAAATGCTCAGTTGCTGATGAAATATTTGAGTACCTACTGCTTAAAGGTAGAGACTGAGATCTGCACGCCACTATATAACCCCAGAACCTACCAGATACTTCATATGACACTCATAAACCATGGATGGAGACTACTGACTCCCCTTCCCACATCATCTCTCAGGACTATTTGCTACCTGAAGCCTCTTGCAAGGCAGGGAGAGAGATCCAGGGCCATTTCTCAAGGTTTTGATTTACCAAGCATCAAGGAGTCTAGCTGGCAGGCTTTCTTCCAGAAGGAGAAACACAGTCAGGCCAGAGGTAGTGGGAGGAATGAAATGACCCATTCAGTCTCTTCCAGTGTGGAAAAATCCATAAGAAACAATGCTGACATTTTGTATAGTTTTTCAGCGAGAATGAATGTGTGTGGGAATGTATGAATTTGGAGTGGTCCATAGACAGAGGCTCCTTTTTAAGAAACAAGTGAGAAATTTTATCCACATTGAAAACATTCTGCATTGATTCAGAACTTGAGGGTCTAGAAACAAAAGGAATGGGGTTCAAATCCCAGCTCTGCCATGTAGCATCTGTATTTTAACTTTTCTGTGAGGTACTGTTGTGTTTACTGACTTGTTCTATTTTCTTAGACAGAGTCTTGCTATGCAGCCCATCCCAGCTTTGAACTCACTATTCTCCTACCTCACCCTCCCAAACTTTGACATTATAGGGATGAGCTTTCATACCCAGCTCAATCTCTCCACTGGCCTCAGATTCACTGAGTGTGATCTTGAAAATCTCATTCTTTGGCTTCTAAGAGCTGGGATTATAGGTATGCTCTCTATGCCCAGTTTTATGCAGTGCTGGGAATCAAACCCAGGGCTTTGTCGTAGGCAGGCACTTGAACAACTGAAGTTCATTGTCAGCTCTCTATATATCTCCATTCTTTAAAACAGGACTAACAGTCCCAGCCTCACCAGCCCCTGTGCAGATTAGATGAGGTAATGGTTTTATCTACAAGATGGAAAGAAAGCATCAAGTGCAAGCTGCCTGTTAAGACCTCCAGTGTGCTTTCAAAATATTTCTTCCTTGGGAAAGCTTCACACTTGTTAATGGCAGGATTCCATGCATCATGTATGGTCTGACCTAGGAGAACACCTCTTTTGTCCAGCTCGCCAGCTTCCTCCAAACCCCTCACACTGACTTCCAGGAGCCCAGCCGCAGGCAGAGGACATACTGACACTGAAAGGAAGGCAGTAAGGAGGGTCATGAGAATAGAAGGAAGCTATGGGAAGCTGGGAGGGCCAGAGGCAGTGCAAACAGGAGCATCCTCTGGGCCATGACTGTGAAGGGAGCCAAAAGGACAGCCTTTCTCACCAACCCCAAGGGGATGATGTCATCCATGGAGAAAGAGCCAGAGACAGCATTGCTCTCTTCACTCAGAGCATGGGACCATCTGGGATCTCAGGGCTTCTTTTGTCTTAGGACCAAAGTGGGAGGAAGGGGAGCAGTGTGGTGTGGGAGCAAAGGAGTGGGGTTAGCTTAGAGAGCTGGAAATAAATAACTCTGAGTACCAGTCTTCATGCTGGAGGACTCTCAGTATCTCAGAGCTATTCTTCCTGCAAGGATCAAGTCTTGCCCTACTTGATCTTGGGGTCAACTGGAGACATCCTAAGAAGATCTGATTGGTTCTCCTCTGAGTAAGAATGGACCCAACAGCTCCCTCCCCAGCCATATACCATCAAACACAAAGTCCTTAAGCATACCCCCAGTGGGATCTCTTTAACAAAAGCTTGAAAGGTCTCCTCACTCCCTTATAGCAACTCCAGTTTATAACTTACCTCTAGTCTTGCCTTGGATTCAATTTTAGCTTTTTTCCGCATATCAAATTTTAGTCTCTCTAGCTACAATCTACTCTAGCCTTTCTGGTGTGGTCAAGAGTTCCATGCTATAGTTTGGGACCCTGATGGGGCCCTAACTGATAAACTCTGCACTTGTCATTAGGCATATTTGCCTGTGTTTCTGTCCAGTTTGGGGTCAGTTGTCCAATATCAACCCTCCTTTGCTTTACACTGCTGAGCCCCACTATTGCTCTGGGTGGCTGGCTAGGCAGGAAGGAGAAACCCCCACTTGATGGATTAGGAAGTGAGAGATCCCCTCAGGTCATCTTTTCTAGAGCCACTGCTACTCAAACATTCTTTTCCAGGCCTTCATTGTCTTCACTGTATCCTCATATGATTTAAACTCATTTAATATTTATTCTACTTGATGTGTTTATAAAGGAATTTGCACAAAAGGCATAGCACAAGTCATCAACAGGTGGGAGCTGTAAATATGCACACACTGTAACTCCTAATCTAAGGCTTTTTGGTGA